TAGGCGATGTCCAACAGTACGCCAGCTGACACTGGCAAATGCATTACAACCAGGACAAAACGCTAGTCTTTACATCCTTATGTATCATTACATGGATGATATATTAATAGCTGCAGAACAAAAAGAGAGCCTAATAAGTGCTGTATGGTTCATCTGGCAGGGAGCACAATCTGTCTGTTTACAAATAGCTGAAGAAAAGGTGCAACTCAGTTCTCCATGGAAATATTTAGGATGGAAAATTACACCTCATACCATTGATGGGTGGTGAGCAATTGTGCTGCGCATCACCTGTTTTAGCAAAGTCCCAGATAATACCTCATGATTTGCAAAAATTACTAGGAACCATCAACTGGTTGCAACCGCTTTTGGGTATCACTACTCAAGAGATACACCCTCTATTCTAACTACTCCAAGAACACCCAGGTCTAACCTTTCCAATACAATTAATACCAAAAGCACTGCAATGCTTAGACTCTGTAATAACATTACTGCAACACTGATACAGCCATTGTATTTATTTATCACTTCCAGTATCTCTTATAATAATGTCAAACTCTTGTCAACGTATAGAACTTGTTATATCAATGAAATATCTCAAGAAAAGATCCTCTTATCATCCTCAAATGGGTGTTCTTACCACATACATTTTCAAAAACATTACATCATGAGTGTAAATGTTTGCAGTGCTAATACAGCAGAATTATTACAAATTCTACCATCTTTTGATCCTGATTGCATTTACATACCTGCTACTAAAAAAGATTTAGATTGGTTGCTTGCTCGTTCGCTTGCATTACAAAATGCTATAGCTGACTATACTGGACAAATCTCCTCTCATCCAGTGGATCAAGCCTGTAACATTACTCTAAAGTGCCCAGACTGTCTGGCAATGGCCCCAGATAGAGACAAATCCCTGTGACAAAGCACCTCTTCAACTCTGGCAGACAGATATTACTCGTTCCTGAATTTGGCTGTCTAAATTGTGGGCTTGTAAGAATAGATACTCATTCTTCTTACATGTTTGCCACGGCACATACAGGCAAATGCCATTGCAATACCTGTAAACACTGGTTATCTGCTTATGCTGCTATGGGGATCCCAGATACTATAAAAACAGATAATGGACCTTCATATACTTCTAAGGCCACTCGAACTTTCCTCCAAGAATGGGGGGTTAGACATACTACTGGTATTCCTCACTCTCCTACTGGACAAGCTATCATCGAACGTGCTCATCACACATTGAAATGTTCTCTTAATAAACTAAAAAGGGGGAATACAGGATACACACCACAAGAAAGGTTATGTTAGGCTTTGCTTATGCTAAATTTTTTAAATCATGATCATACAGATACTACTCATGTAGGTCATTTTGGGCCTCCCCAGCACTCATAGAACAATCAATGGTTAGTGTTTGGGATATGGCCATGAGGCATTGGGAAGGTCCCTTAGCATTGATAATTTGGGGTGATGGATATGCCTGTGTTTCCACAGGTACTGGTCCTAGGTTGGTTCCAGAGCTATGCATTAGACCTCCTCTCAAGGCAGAAAATAGCATCCAGCCCTCATAATGACTGGGATTGTGTGTTTCTTACTTATTGGCATTGTTTTGTTGCTTGTTGTATTACAAATAACTTATAGGTGCCATGGTGAGTGACAAAAAACAGCTGCATTACCCACTGGATGGTATCACAATAACAACACTGCTAATGGTGACAAAAGTGGGTGATTTTCCTGTGTTATCAATGCAGCCTCAAGAATTAGAATTATTAGGCATTATCTAGATTGGTGTGTGCTTCTTCCTCTACCTTATTAGTAAATCAACTGTGAATTGAACAGGATTTGATTACCAGTGCTGGAATCTATGGGAATAGCAATTTTAGTGTAATTTTACCACCTCATTATCAGTAACGCTTAGTTATGATGCTGTTAGCCTATCAATTAGCCTTTTCTTAACCTGCAGAGAGAAATCCTGGAAAGGAAACACAGGCAAATGGATGACCCAGTACTATAGAATGATTAACTCTCTTTCATCCCACTGATCAGGGTTTTAAAAATATGACCACGCATCACTCAAGACAAAGGTGCACGCTATCTTACTTTAAGTCAACATATGATTCTAGTATAGAATTCTGGAATACTGCCCAATAGATTTTTTAGTTCACTAATTGGCACCTGTATCAGAAATGTAAAGGTCCCTGATGGAAGAATGATCTTGGGATGAAACAAAGTATTCTGATACTTTTAAGGAAACTGATATTCGTGGCTATAGCTGACAACATCCTGTTTCATAGAAAGAGCTAACTTTGGTAGTTTATTTTGTTTTGCAAGCAGGTATTCCTCTTGGGCTGTGTATCATGCGCTGGCCACGTGGACGTGGTGTACAAATGGAAAAAACCTTGCAGACCTTGAGAAAAGTGAAAGCAGGAGAGTCTGTGGTGGGTGAGAGAATGTTTTTCCCAATAGGCTTCAAAATCTTGCACTGTCTATCCATTTCCCAAGAGATGGTTCAGCACATAAAAAGCCACCTACCCTTACATTCAGTATTTAGGTAATTTTATTGGCTAATGAAAGGCTTTGTTGATCTGGTCCATCTTGGTAATATGTGCGGATTCCTGGTCAGTAATTGTCCTTGCTGTATTTCTCTATCACCCTGAACACTTCTGGCAAATATACAACCATGTTTCCTACAATGCTTTACACTTTTACAGGTGTGTTCAATATTGATATATTTCTTTTGCTATGCCTTTCTATATCAGCTGTCCAAAAATGTGAAATTATTAGCAATTATTTAGTATGTTTTGTGGTGTACTTAAATACACACTTACTGAATCTTTCCCTTAGTCTCTGTATGAGCAGCTAGAAATTCTGGAGCCTGACTTGCTATTTCCCTTTGTATCCTTCCTAGAGCTGCTATGGGATTACCATTTTCATGGATACATCCAAGACTTTTAGCCTCTGCCCAGGTACACATAATATAGAATTAACAATCTCCTACCACAGTGAGTAGAGGGCTAATGTTATTTTCAAGAAAAAAATATAGTTAACTTCTGCTCATATGTTTTATCCAAAGAATCCAATAAAGATCAGATACTTCTTCCCCAAGAGAAGAGTTTCAGACCTACTTCTTATAGTAAAAGCAACATGCTCTTAACTTTATCATTTGCATTAGGATCTCAAAACCTTGCCTTGGTTTTTGTTTGTTTGTTTGCTTGTTTGTTTGTTTTTTAGAAGTTTCCAGACTTGCTTTTCAGAAAGCTAGCCTGTCTCCCACTGTGTTCATCTCCCTCCTACCTTAATTTCAAATTACAAAGGAGAGAGGGGAAAGGCAGAGAAGGTTTGTAGTTACTTACAGGAGAAAAATATAATGCTGAATTCCAGGGGAAGAAAGAGAGTATTTCCAAGCTAAGGATTCTTGTTTGTCCCTGTGTATAAACTATTGACTTGATTTTTGTCTAAACAATACAGGCTTAACGTCATTATCTGGTATTACCATGACAGTTGACAGAAGATCCTGACAGCAACAAGTTTAAACCAACAGAGAAAGGCATCTCTTAGTTAAAGCATTAAGTTGTCTAAAAGGCCTGTGTCCTGTATTTACCCTTTATTTTTGAATGCTCCAATCAGCCTCAAGTTACAAGTGTCAGTGGCAATGCAGACTGACAGTCAGGAATGATAAAACCAGAATGTAAAAAGTTTCCAGCAAATCCAAACAGCTGGCAATCTCTGATTTCTATTTAAACATGCAGGCTGTTAATTTTTTCAAGCTGCAAAACATACTCATACTCATTGAGGACTCTTCTGAAAGCAAGCATAATGCATGACATTTCAAAGCCACTTAAGGAAAAGATTAATTAAAAGAATTAAAAGTCTTTCCAGTACAAATAAGTATTATGTAGGCTAAATTTGGTATTCTTCAAAACTCTGCTGAAAATGGGGCCAGCAAAGTGCTGCACCCACTGGCCCACCTCAAGTTAGTTACTCCTCACAACCAGATTTTAACGAGCTGTCCTTTAGCTCCATTGCCCCCTCATACTGCTGCCTTCTCTATCCATTTAGTCATGCGATTAATGATCACAGTCATTACCCATCATATTGGCAAATGAACTCCTGTGGCGACAGTGTTTCCTGCAGACACAGCGCTTAGAAGTTATTAATACAATGTCTGTCCCACGGATTTAAATCTATAAGCCCACATCTTATTAATGTTTTGCTCAAATTACAATGAAGCATGTATGGTGCAGGGTTTTGTCACATTTATTTATGAATTTTATTGTAATGAAAAAAGCTTTCTGTGATAAAATTGAAAAGTTAGTTAAGCTTATAGAAACACTGATATCAGGAAAAGCTTTTTTCCAAGCAAATGAATCACTGTTAGAGAAGACTCTTTGATTCTTAGATTTGCCATTAATTTAAATCTTGGAAGCAGAAGCCCCTGCAAGATTTTTCGTATCTGTTGTTTTATGATTCAATAAACGAAGTAAGACCTGATAAAATCTCAAAAAATAATAATCTTAAATAAATTATCTTTATGATCCTACCTGGATCCCCATAGTAATGATCTATGCCATTCAGATCACCACAGAACTCCATCATATATTTTTGTGAGAAACTGCCTCATACCACTTCTATGTTTTTTTTTTTCCTCTTCATAGTGCAGGCATTCTTCTACTCAACATGCAAAGGACTGTTTGATAAATGCTTAAATTACTGGAATCTAATTAAATTTAAAGATTTTTTTTTTCATTTATAGTCAAATTTCCAGAAGTAGTGAAATTTTGCTTTCATACCTCTTTGATTTCTGAATTCCTCCCCTCTTAAAAACCCAAACCAATCTTTTTCAAGGCAGGAATGCAGAACATGTTATCTTCTGTCCATTTCCCTGCAATATATTTTCAATTTAGGTTTTGTTCCTACAAATTACAACTGAAATGAGCAACTAATGTTGGCAGACCTACAGGGCGAGGATGGATGAAAGGTCAGGTGTTCACAACACTTACTGGTTGAAGCAAATAAATCAGCGAGCTCTCCTGGATAACTATCACTGGAAAAGGAGTGATATTTCTTGCATGAAAAAGCGTTTCCACTGATGCCATTGTTTGGTCAAAGCGTCCTCCAAGTCCACCCAAAGTCACAATCAAATCAATCTAAAAGACAAAACAAAAACAGTCACCAAGAGAACTATCATCAAGATACTTCCACAAATGATCTTTAGATCCTGAAAATCAAAAACTGAATCACTTTGATAAGAAAAAAAAGTAACAAAAACAAACAAAAAAAAAACTACTGACTATACAAAAGGAAATCTCAAATACAGCCATTTCCTTTCATTACTAATAAATACCATTATGCAATTCTTGAAATTGAATATTGAAGCTCAATAAATTCACAGTCAACATGTGGTACTTTAATGAAAGACCTAATTGCTTTGACTAACACAGAGACCAGTCTAGCAGACATCTATCTGTTTAGCTCAACTGCATAGATAAGATATATCCCTTCACACCTTAGGATCTTATAACCCCAGATTGCTTCAGTGTCATTCTCATAGTCTACAGAGAAAATAAATCACTGGTACACCATATGCCATTCTTGCTCCCTCTGCAGAGCATTTCAGCATACAAACCCACACACAGGCTGGCTCTCCTCAAAACTAATTGCACCACTGCTCTGAAGAGATTGCATGCACCCTATGACTGCTGTATCTCCCAGCTGTATCTCCCAGCTGCTAGGGACAGAAGCACTCCTTGATTGAGCCCCAGACCATGGAGTCAGCCAGCAATTTTGAGTCTCAAACACCTCATCAAGCCTCTGTACACTCTTTACTTCTTATAAGCAGAGAGGGAGCATTTATGAGCTTTCAGTTCCTCAGATAGAAAATCACTGAGTGTAGAATATTATTATTACTTCCACGACGCAGGTCAAGTATGTTCAATAATTGTAATTTAAAAAGCTACCATTTAGTAAGTAGTATGCAAAGCCCTAACACACTGCAGCTCTAAAGCTTTTAGAAGCTCCAATGACAATAGCCATCTTGTGAAGTTTTCTGCTTTACAGGGCCTAAGTCTATGGCCACTGTGAGGGGGAGGGAATTATGCATATGTATACTTCCACATTTTGAAGTGTAATATAAGTTGCAGTGGAATTGCCAGGTCACAGCCTGAACCAATGATTGAGCACCAGATGAGAAGATGTGGGTAACACGGGGAGCTCAAGTGCAAGCAATGCACCTGACTGACAGGAAGGGATGGAGCCTGGATTCATCCCTTCTCACCCCTCATTTAAGGGTTAGCAGTATTTCTCTGAATAGAGATTGTACTTCTTTTGGCCTGTTATTGGTTGTTGGATGGGATGAACAATCTTTTTTTTCTTCTTTATTACCTGCTATTGCTCCATAGCATTTGTATCCCATTGGAAAGCATTCTCATCACCTTCGGTTGCATAAGTGATACAGAAATCCTACTCCTTATTCAGCAGCAATTGCACAGTGATCTTGGGAGCTGGTAATAAATGTAAGAAAATAAAACCAATATAGCATAAGAGTAGATCTGTTGAAAATAATGGTTTGAGATGGACGGGACCTTAAAGATCATCTAGTTCCAACCCCTATGCCACGGGCAGAGTTGCTAACAGCTAGGTCAGGCTGCCCAGTGCCCTATGCAACCTGGCCTTGAACACCACCATGGATGGGGTATCCACAACTTCTCTGCGCAGTCTGTTCCATTGCCTCACCACTCCCTAAGTAGAAGAAGGGGAAAATCAAATCTTATCCTGCTTGCTCTCTTTTGATGCAGCCCAAGATGCAGTTGGCCCTCTGGACTCCAATCACACGCTGCTGGTGGCTCAGATTTCCATCTACCAGGACCTCCCAGTCCTTCTCTGCAGTGCTGTTCTCTGTGAGTTCTTTTCCTAATCACAGAATCACAGAATCACAGAATCGTAGGGGTTGGAAGGGACCTCCAGAGATCATCGAGTCCAACCCCCCTGCAAAAGCAGGATCCCTACACCAGGTCGCACAGGTAGGCATTCCAGTGCTCCGTCACCCTCACCGTAAAGAAGTTCTTGCGCACATTGGTGCGGAACTTCCTATGCTCCAGCTTCTGGCCATTTCCCCTTGTCCTGTCTCCGCACACTGCTGAAAACAGTCTGGCCTTGCCACTTTGCCCCCCACACCTTAGATATTTATAGACCTGGATCAGGTCCCCTCTCAGTCTTCTCTTCTCAAGGCTAAACAGACCCAGATCACTTAGCCTGTACACATATCTATGATCGCACCCATCCAAGTGCAACACCTTGCACTTAGCCTTGTTGAACCTCATTTGATTCATGTGGGCCCACTTGCCAAGCCTGTCCAGGTCCCACTGGATGGCATTCCTTCCTTTTGTAGTATCAACTGTACCACTCAGCTTAGTGTTAGCAAACTTGCTGAAGGTGCACTCGATCCCACCGTCCGTGCCATTGATAAAGATGTTAAAGAATACTGGTCCCACCATGGGCCCCTGGGAGGACACCACTCATGACCATCTGGACACAAGAGCTCCTGACTGTAACCCTCTGACTGAACCATCCAACCAATTCTTTATCCACTGAATAGTCCATCCTTCAAATCCATCTCTCTCCAACTCAGAGATAAGGATATGGTGCGGGACCATGTAAAAGGCCTTGCACAAGTCCAGGTAGATGACATCAGTTCCTCTTCCTTTGTCCACTGATTGCCATCATTTCATCATAAAAAGACACCAGATTATTCAGACACAATTTGCCCTTTGTGAAGCAATGATGGCTGTCACAGATCACCTTCTTATCTTGATTGTGCCTTAACATACCTTTCAGGAGAATCTGTTCCATGGTTTTCCCAGGAACAGATATGAGGATCACCAGCCTGTAGTTCCCTTTCTCCCTTTCTTAAAAACAGGAGTGATGTTCCCCCTTTTCTGGTCACAACGGACTTCGCATGGAGGCCATGATTTTTCAAATATGATGGAGAGTAGCTTGCCAAGTACATCAGCAAATTCCTTTAGGTCCCTGGGATGCATATCGTAAGGCCCCATTGACTTGTACAAACACAACTGGTTGTGGCATGTTTGGAGAAGGCTAAAAAAATACCCTAAAAGGAAATGTAACTATTATTCTGCGTTTCTATGTTCCTGTAAAATAGAAAAATATGTCTGTGACAGGCATGGAGACAAAACCAGCTAGAGTACCCCAGGAATGGGCAAAAAGAAAAGCTGAATTCTACGCTTGGGTGGCAGCAGACAGTCTGCCTTTTACTGCAGAATCCTGGAGCCAGTGATGGACATCCAGACATTGTGGGACATAAAATCTCTGCTGGAAGGTTTAGAATATACAATTTGTTTATTTATTTAACAAACGGACAAAGAGGCTTACTCCAGCAAAACCTCAACAGATTTTTCATCTTAAAGCTATCACCTCCATTCAAAAAAAGCAAATCTGGAAGCTAACAAAACAATCAGCTTCTTCCCTGAGATCTCTGATTCTCATTCCACCAAACACTAAGGAAACTGGACAGAATGTGAATGCATGTGCATGAATCTTTGTAATCCCAGAGTATAAGAAAAAGAGAAAACCAAAGTACAGGGCATTTATAGATTTGCCCACTAGTGAGGAAAGGCCATTCATTTTTCCAGTATGAGGCTAGAGAATTATACTCAACTCCTGCTAATCAGCCCAGCATGTAGCACTTGACTAACACACTGCACTTGAATTGAAATATCCATAATTCACTTAAATGTCCTGTCAAAACTCCCTTTACCCATTTTGTTTTCACACAGTGCTATTCATTTCCTGAGAAAAAGTATAAAATTCTAAATAACTGCTAAGAATAGCAAGATCCTAGCAAGAACAGTGTAAAGCGGGCTGCATTCTATTAGACTTTATAAAGCCTGACTTAAATTCCTTCTACAGCATTTTTAGTGCAATCAAGCTTCATTTCATAAAGAGTTGAAGTTCTAATCATGGGATTCAGTCATCTTTAAATTAAATTTATACATCAGCATCTTTTGAAATGGCTTTAGGAGTTGCAGCAGGGCTGTTAAAGGAGAAGAGAAGCATAAAGAAACACTCTGCACATGGCAATTTGGTTTCTTCTTTCTTTCTTCTCCCTTAGGGTATAATTTAGAGTAGGCTGTAACCTTGAGGTTGCTGAGGCTGCCACCACATCAGGGTGAGGCTGCTCAGCTCCCTGCTTCCATTTCCATAGGGACTACAGAAATACACAATTTGCTATAAATTGTCTGCCAGCTTGCTAAACACTCTTTTTCCATGGAAAATGGGCCCAGCAAACATCTCTCTTTCTGGTATAAGTGGATTAAATAGAGAAGACTTTACTTAGAAAAGTGATGGACAAGTTATTTAAGGAGAAGGGTGAAAGGACAGAGGAAGCTGGGAGCTGCCTGAGGTAGGTGAAAAGAACTTCATATCCTTCTTTGTAACACAAGCATCACCATGCCATCTAAGCGCAAAGTCTCAAAGGCTCAAACTGACAGCAGAGGATGCCCACTCTTTTTAAAACTGTGCTCCTTATCTCTGATAAGAAACTCTCCCCAGGATACAGACCCCTTGAGGGATCTTCTTACATACGACCTCTGTTTCAGGCAGACAATTTTCAAAGGAGCATGCCTGAGTCTCAGGAGACTCTGACAGGGAACCATTGCCTGGCAGCAACTGGTGGCACTGGAACAAATAACAAGAAAGACCATCCTAAAGGAAAGAGGGAAGGCAAGAACAACATGTTGTGAAAGCTCTGGAGCCATAAATAAACCTTCCTCCCTCTGAGACCAAGACAACCATTCACTGCTATTTTCCCATATAATTCTATGCCAATTACAGATCAGATATTGCATTTGAACACCACTTCTTATCAACTCCACACCTCACTGGTATCTTGTTATCTTCATTACTTCATTTTCTAGCATTCAAAAGTCTATTGCTTTAATATAAAATACCAGAGGAAGATGAAAGAGAACAAATTTATTGTAGCAACATGCACATACTGAAGCATATTTTATTCTGAAAAGCAAACAATTAAATAGTGGTGTGAATGTTGTGTTTATTATTCAGTTTGACGCTATAAAGGATGCACATACCAACATGAGCCATCAGCTTGGAACCAAAGCCTGTCAGGACA